AGAGAGAGAGAGAGAATAGACGCATATATATATATATATATATAAAGAATATAAATTTAGAAAAAATTAAATAAGCTTAAATAAGTTTAATTTATTAATATTTATCAATTCATTAATATCTAATTATTTTTAATGTGACAGATTTTAAAATAGAGAATAAATATGTAATATTAGATTGCTAGAATTTCTTTCTATTATCTTTGCTTAAATACAATGTAAACTTCTATCTTTAAAGATTTTTTTTATCTTATAAAAAAAAGAAGAATTGTATGAAACATCATTTCATTAATCATAATAACTTGTTTTTCCTTTTTTGTATTTATATAAAATTTTTACATACGTACATTATATTACGATAGAATTATAATACATAAAAAATACAAGCAAATTGTACTTCAATAAAATTTTTTTTTATTTTTCATTCATAATATTATTATTTATTTATAATTATATAAAATTATATTTAATAATAAATAAACACTTTTTATATACAACATATTTAATTATAATAAATTGTTTATTAATTTTATTAATCATTGACATTAAAAAAATCGTAATTATTCTATATATAATGTATATTTCATATGTATAAAAAATTGTTAAATTTTAATTATAAATATATATTTATGCAATATCTTGTAGACAAATTTTTTTTTTAATTAATAATAAATAGAAATTGTTATAAAAATAAAGGAAAATGTAAAAATAACAAATTGCTAAAAAAAATATTTAAATAAATGCAAATATAAATTTATATTTATACAAATAATTATTATGAAAAGAATAAAATAAAGAAAAAATAAAAATTTTTATAGTAAAACAGTAACAGAAACTTGATTAAATTTTTAAAAACGTAAAATATAAAATATTTTTATATGATTTGAGAGTTTTCAATATTAATTTAATGATTTAAAAAAATAATAATTGTACAGGTATATTTGATGTTTCAATATGATAATGTAAGTACATATTTAATAATTTTTTAAAATAATAAATATATATATATATATGTGATCAAAGTATGAAAATTATGATTTCTATGATCTTTCATTTATTTTACAAAAAATATTCTATTTTATATTTTTATATTTTATTATTATGTTTTATCACAATATTTTTTTTTTATATAATTTTTAATTCTAAATAATATTTTCACAAAATAATTGTGAATTATTAAAAATACAAGTAAATTATGTATATATATTTATTGAAAAATTATATTTTGATAATTATATAAAATTATTGCTTAAAATTATAGATGTCTCATAATTTTATTGCTAAATATATCTTATGATAGACTTAATAATATGAAATATATGTAGATATATTTTTATATACTGTATTTCAATATATATATCAAAAGCAGGAGGGTTAGACATTATATTCGTATTTCATTAATTTTTTATTATTAAATATTAAACAATCTTTATTACATTAAAAATATTGTTTAATGTTTACTAAAATTATGAAAATATAATTATAAACTTTGCAATATAAGTTAATTTCAAAGCGTACGTTCAAAATACATAAAATTAATGAATTATGATAAAAACAATATATATAATTATTAAATGAATATTTCAAATAATTGAAAATATATTCAAATTACATAATATTTTATATAAGATATTAATTAATTACAATATATTTTGTTATAATTTTTTTTAGTTACAAGAAAAATTCTATAGATCTTTATATTTACAATTTATAGAAAATATACAGAAAAATTATAATTATTACAATATAATCTTAACAAATTTTAATATATATAATATATATAACTAAATGTAAATTAATATTTTTTCTATATGAATATGAATTACATTTTTTTTGTAAACAACATGATACATTTATTCTACAGGTTTCAATGTAATAAATCTTGAAAGAATAAATGCAACTAAAAATGTTCCTGCTACAAAGCAGGCAACGAAAATATACCATGTTTCTTCATCAAATACATCAGTAAAAGCTGGAACTTGATTATAAAGTGTATCAATCAATTTCATATTATAATTTTTATTATTTGAAGTATGACTTGCCATTTTAAAAATAAATTATTTCTTATGCTGCAAAAATTCAATGTTTTTTAAAACTTGATTAGGAAGAAGAAAAATAATTGAATAATCAAAATTATATTATTAAAAAAAGAATCACTTTTTTTGAATCTTAATCTTCAGATTCACATGGAGACAAAGGTGTAATGTGTTTGTTGTAAAGTTCCAAAAGATTTAAAGATGTCAAGTTTGCACATTTGCATACTATTTTATCACCAGATACTAAAAGATATAAAAATATCAAATTTGTTTCTAAAAAGATCTTTTAAAATTTAATTGTAATTTTAGTTATTGTATTTACTTTATACTATTATTTATTTTTAAAATATTATGAAAATATAATTAAGTTCTGATTATAAATTTTTTTATTTCAAATCTTTATATTAGACATAAAAATGATACAAATCATTAATTAAGTATTTTTAAGTAAAAAAGTGTTGTAATACTCACACAAATTAAACGTAATTATGGGTTCAGATAAATCAGAGACAATGCATGGTTTTACAATACAACGTGGATTTGTTGCAATAATCTTTGGAGTTGTAATGTGAAACAGAAAATCTCTGTAAATATAATACATATAGAAATGTTTATTATAATGTATAATATTAAATCATTATTTTTTAAATTCAACTCTTTATTTATAATAAAAAGTAATAAAAGGAAAAATTATTATTAAGATAATATATTTCATAATGAAAAAGTATTTAATTTATTTTATATATTATTATATATTATATATAATATATATATAATAATATTATATATTATTTTATATATTTATTATATATATAGTAATATTGAAAATTTTTGCATTATTTTTTATTTTTTATTCTATTTTCAGAAAAAATGGCACAATTAAAGCAGCAACTTCCACTTCAAATGCCAGACTTAAGTAGTCTTCGTATAACTACAGCTGTTTCTATGCTTGGTAAAGCATATGGATGTGGACAATGTAGTGGTAAGTTCTTCAATTAAGAATTTTTTCAATAAAAAAATATAATAATTTTAAAGTGATTAAAGTATTAAGAAAATTATTTATTATGTATTAATATATATTTATAATTAAAAAATTAATAAAAAAAGTATTATATCAATAGTTTAAGAATCCAAAATATTTAAATATATACACAAAAAAAATTTAAATAAGAAAAAAAAAAGAATTTTAAATAAATATCAATTAACAAAAATTTGTGTATTTTTTTTATCTAATTTCTAGTAAATATTAAAATTTTAGAATACAATTCAATTCAAAAATATTCAATCAATTAAATATTTTAGTAAAATATTTCAATTAAACTTATAAAGTTGAAGTTGACAATGAATTTTTTCATATTTTTCAAATTTTTTTTAAGCAATTTATATTTTAAGCAATTGTATTGTAAATTTGATTTGTAAATAATAAAAAGTTTGATTTTTTAAAATAAAATAGATATTTATATTTGTTTCAAATAAATATATTGATCTAAATTTTTTTTAAACTATATATTTATTCAAATAAAAATAATAATATTTATTAATGAAATTTAGGTTCACTTTATAAGACTAGATTATTAATTAGAATAGATTTAGAAAAAAATTACAAAATATAAATAATTTATATTAGTATTTTGTATTCATAATATTAATTCAATTTAAAAACGCATTTTATAATAAAATTAGTATCAATCAATATTTAGAAATAATTAATAAAAAAATTAATGAAATACAAGCAAAATAATAGAAATATTTATACATATTTTATGTAATTATAAATATTAGAAATTTTAAATTCACGATTAAATTTAAAATTGTATTAATTAAAATCATCATGTCAATAATTATTTAACATTACTTATTCAAATTTCAAATGAATTAAAATAATGAATTGTCAAACTGTAACTATATAAAAGAATTATAGAAAAAGAAATTTTTTATGTAAAATAAAAATATTTTAGATAAATATTAAAATTATATATATATAATTATACAAATAAAAATTTATACTTTTTATATAAATATAAAGTGTAAATATTTAGATATCACTCTGTTAAAAAAATTAAAAAAAATCTTTTAATTCAATATATTATAATTCAATATGATATAACTATAATAATATTATTATAACAAATCAAATAAATTTTATCGTTATTTTTAATAATTTTATAATATACACTATAATCCTATATAATACCTTGTATAATCGCATTTAAAACTCAATTATATCCTTTTTGAATTGTATAAAAAATAAGAAATTACATTTCACGTTTATACCAATTTTCAATATAAATATTCAAAGTTAATTTTCATATTATAACTTTCATTATAATAATATTAATTATTGAAATTTTCTAAAAATACTGATGTCGTCTGCTAGTTACTAGAAATTTCACATTGCACATGCGTACAATATTGACGTCATTAAACTAACCAACTTTTTACAATAAACGTAAAGTAATCGTTACTTATTGAAATAATATTTGTAATTATAAAAAAAACTATTATAATATTTTCAAAATGAAACATTTTAAAGAAAAGATAAAAAAATAACGCAAATATTTCGTTTTATACTATGAAAATAATTTAAAATATATTAAATTGATATATTTATATATGTTAATTTTTATATACAAAAAATTATAATGTATTATTTTTTTTATAAAATCAAAATAAAAAATATTATATACTATGATTAATTTTTAATAAAATATATATAAATATAGTAAACAAAATTTTGTACTAACCTTGCTTCCAAGGCTTTATCATGAAAGGGATCGAATTTTATATCAATTGATTTAACTGGTTTTAAAGATAAAGTTCTCAAATGCTTTGCTATTGCACTTATTATTCCTTTTGAACGTGTACGAGTTCCATTGAAAGGGATCGACATTTCGGAAATCGAGCACGCAATCGCATGCAGTGCATATCACCAACAGTAGCAATCTAGGGGATATAGTTTGATGCAGTGTAACCAATATAACCAAAAATTTATTATTAAACTATAAAATTATTATAAAAATACAATATGTTAAAATAAAATAAAATATAAAAGAATTTTTTAAACTACTATATTATATTTGAAATTTAATTTTTTAATAATTTTGAAATATTGTAATTTAATATTGAAAATGTTACTAACATGTATTATATTATTGATGTTTTATAAATTTATCGTACATTGTTTATATAATACTTACTAATATTATTATTCAAAAATTGAAAATTAAAATAATTTAGAAAATAATGATAATGCTAAGAATTATTAATTATCGTTTTATTATTTATACTCTGATTGGTCAAGATAAGATCAATCGAAATCAAGTTGGTGGCAGCCATTGCAGGAGGCAGTCTCGTTCGCAGTGTGTATTGTGGAGAAGTGTGTTGTGTGGTCAGTGGGTTTTGTGTTAAATTTTTTACTTATTTATTAGTGGTTATCTGGTCTTTTTCACCGTCAGCTGCAAAAATGTATCCTGTAGGGCAGCGTGAGTATCTTGCTGCGATTATTTTTTTTTTATAACATTTTAAAATATTTCAAAATAGGCTTTTATGTATCTCGAAGCAAGAACAGAATTTCAATGCTTGACTAAATCTGATCCTTTGTTTTCATTTGATTATTTTGAAGTAATCAGAATCCTTTGGATTTATGCATGTGCTAATACAATTCTTTCATAGCAATAAGTTGAAGTTTAAGAAATCGAGGAAAATTTAAAATATGACCTCGAGTGAACCTCGTTCAACAGGCACAATGTGTCGTCACTCTGATCCGTCAATGCACGGATAATGTATGAGCACATATGTATATAAATCTATTACTAATGTATTTTTATTACTTATAATATTTTTAATATATTATTTTATTATTATATTAGAATAAATTAATTAAAAATTAAGATTTTCAATATTTTTATAATAATATAACTAACTTTTTGTTCTTACTATGTTATTAATATTTTTGAATTTTACTAATTTATATAAGATTTTTATAAATAATTCCTATATATTTATTTGTAATTTTTATTATATTTTTTTTTAATTGATATTATATTTTTAATTTACTGAGTATGAATTATTTAATGCTATGTTATAATAAAAAAATATGAAACAATATTATTAATGAAACAATATTAAGTTTTAAATATTAAATATTATATAATATTATATAAATTTAAATATTATATTGATATTAAAAAATTACAAAATAATAAATAATTTTTGAATGAATATTTTTTTTGTCCTAAATTAAAAATTATTTTATAAAAATTCAAAATTATAAATATTTGTATTGATATATTTAAAAATCTTCACTTATATTCTTCAATTAAATCTATAAATTAAAATATTATTTTTTATTAATAAGTTTTGAAAATAATAGATTTTAATAGATTTTTATAATATAATTTTGAACATGTATTAAAATTATTTTTAATTCAGAATTTATTAATTTTTTAATAATTTAAATTATTTTAAAGAGAAATCATCTCTATAAATTTATTATATAAAAAAAAAATATTTTAATTAAATAATATTAATATAACAATAATGAATTAGTTAATAATAAAATATTGATAAAATATTTTATTCTATTTAAAAAAAAGCAAAATTAAAAAAAAGCTAAAAATTCTTCAAAATTAATTGCATTTAAACTGATTAATTATTTATCTTATTTAATTTAGAAAAAAAGAAATAAGCTATTTATATACAATTTAAAAAAAATAGTTTATATTGTTTTGTATATGTATATAAGAGATATTTAATAATTGAGAAAATAATATTTAATAATTGAGAAAAATTATAATTTTATTCCAAGTAAAATAGAAAAAAATGATACAGGAAAATTATCCATTGTTATTATATTCTATCATATGAATATATTTTTTTTCTATACATGTATTGATACAGTTGCAATATGCATTTGCATTTTTTAAAAATATTTTATTATAATAATATATATAATATATATATAATATATATAAATATTTATAAAAAATGCATAAATAAAATGTATAATTACAATATTTCTTTCATATATTTTTTGTTACTTTTCATTATATTGTTTAATTTATACTTTCATTTAAAAATTACATATTTTACAATGAATATTTATTTATTTAATTTCATTTTTCTTAAAAAATATATTTTATTCTTTTAAATTTTTTTAAAAAAGTTTAATTAAGTAAATGTGATAACTAAAATATCAATGAAGATAGATTATGTAAAAGATTTTTAAAGAATAAAGCGTATTTATAATTTATTTCATTAGACAACATAAAAGAAAATTATATATATATAGATAATTGTTTAAAAATGCTGAATATCTGATGTAATAAACAGTGTCAAAAATTTATGAAAATATTTGAAATGTCATGAAGCATTTATGCATTTGTTTGTTATACATTTGTTAAAGAGATACTTAAAATTAATTTTTATCTTGAAAAATATTTTTGAAATTGAAATGAATTTTCAATGATTTTTCTATATATCATTTTATATATAAAATGATGCAAAAAATAAATTTATGAAAAAAAAAAAAAGAATAATTTGCATTTACATTGCTGTATCTGTAAAAAAAAATTATATAGTAATATAATTTAAGAGTAATGAAGTATATTAAACAGAATGAAATTTTTTTGTTTTTTTTTATTTGCAGTTTAGATAGAGTTCATCTTAGTTATTAAATACATCCTGCGTAAAATATTCCATATAAAAAGTAAAAAAACTAAAAACTCTTTAACTATTAACCAATAAATTCATTTCCTTCATGGAATTATAGAATGTAATAAATGTAATAAAATTTATTTGAAATATTGAATTTTTTTTATTCTATAAAGTTAAAAAATTATAGCAGATAATACTCTTCTCGACAATAATTTCAGATTTATATTTTTTTATAAGATACTTATAAAAAAAAATTTTATAATTTTGTAATATTTTTTAATATTTCATTTTAAAAATATATTAAAAATATATAATATATTTTTTAATATATCAATTCATTTCATTTTATTATATTTCCAAATGTTCTTAATATAAATATATATAGTATTTATAATCATAAATTATTAAATTAAATATTTAATATATTAATATTTAATTAAATATATAATTTTATTTCAGCTCCCCCACCTGGACCCACAACAAGTTCTTCTGTTGGAGCAGCTGGAGCAACTGGAAGCAGTGTTGTAGCTTCTAGTTCTTTAGGGCTTGTTTCCACACAACAAACACACACTCCTCCTCAACCTCCTGAACTGCCAAGTAAGATTTTAAAAATTATTTTATCTTTAACAACAGAAAAAACGTTGATTTTAATCAGTATATTAAAATGGATATCAAAAGTATGATACAAAAAATATTTATTTTAAACTCATTTATAATATATAATTATTAACAATATATAATAATTTTATTTTTTAATTAATCAATAATATATAAAACCTATGTTCTGTTATATTTTTGAATGTTTATATTCTGTTATATTTGTGAATTATAAAAATAAAAAATTAAAAAATAAAAAACATTATTATCACATTTTTATTATTTATAATTTTATATCATTAAAAATCAATATTTCTTATAATATAATAATAAAATTATTATTATTATGATATAAACTATATAAATTTATAAACTAAATAAATTTTGCATGCAAAATTTATTTAAATAGAATATGAAATTTAATTTTGTTGGAATTTGAATTTCTTTTTATTAAAATTTTATCATAATTATTATTTAATAAAATTATATACATCATATTCTTTATTTATTTAAAATAGTAATCAGATGTAAAAAGTTGATATGTTATATGATAAATTATTTTTAATCAAAAACACATGAGAATCATCAAATAAAATTCTATTTAAATATAATGGAATATTATTAATTATAATTTATTTAAAATTATTTATGTGATATATATATTTTTATAAAAAAATAATTATTAATAAAATAGTTTAATATAAAAAATTCAGATAAAGAATAGAAATATTAAGGAAATTCTTCAATATTTTATATACTGTATTAAAAAATAATAATTTTAACCAAACTATCTTTTAGTACTAAATTTAAATAAAATATATAATGGTGATGTAAAATTGTTTTTATTTTTTATTGTTACTTTGATATATAAAAAAAAATTAAGTATATTTATTTTATTATCAATTTATCATGTAATTCAATATATTTATTATGATTTGGATAATTATATATATATATATATGTATGTATGTTTGGATAATTTTCAATTATCTTTGAGTAATATGAGCATTAAAGCTAAAAACAGTCAAAATATATTTTTCTAATATACTTTTTGCCCCTGTAATATATTATTACTAATTAGTTTCTTAATTTTGAATAGTAACTAAAGTAATCAATAAATTTTTTTGTATATATAGATAAAAAAAATTAAATTGTTTTAATATATACAATGAATAAATACAAATTTTTTTAAATAAAAGAAATACAAAATTGAGCTGACAATTTTTTTTTTAGGTATTCAAATTGCTTTGTTGATTCTAATATTAATAATTATTAACATGTATTATCTTTAATTAATTAATTAACATGTATTATCTTTTTGAAAATATGGATCAAAATAAATCCAGATTGTGCATCAAGAATTAACTAAAAATACTGACTAAAATATAACTGAAATAAAAATATACAAGATATACATATAATTTTTTTCTAAAAGTTATGTTACAAAATTAATCTAAATTGATGTATTATTATTTTAGTTTTAAAAAATTTATCATATTTTTTATCTTATTTTAAAATAATAAGAATATGACTTTTTTAAATATTATTATATTTAAATATTTTATAGTTAACTACAATAATTATAATTATTTATAGTAATAGTATATAGTAAATAGAGGATAAAGTTAAGAAAATAAATTAATCTTAATAATGACATAAGTTAATTTTGAACAAAAAAAAAAGGATATTAAATATATATTTACAGTGTTTTCATGTCCTCGGAGACCAAATATAGGACGTGAAGGCAGGCCAATTGTCTTAAGAGCTAATCACTTCCAAATAACAATGCCACGTGGTTATGTGCACCATTATGATATTAATATTCAACCTGATAAATGTCCTCGTAAAGTTAATAGAGAAATAATAGAAACAATGGTTCATGCATATACCAAAATATTTGGAACTCTTAAGCCTGTATTTGATGGAAGAAATAATTTATATACAAGGGACCCCTTGCCTATTGGTACTGATAAAATAGAATTAGAAGTAAGTATAATAAAAAGTAAGATATGTATTTTTTTCTTTTAAGATTTATTTTTTAATATTAATTTTTTAGGTAACACTGCCTGGTGAGGGTAAAGATAGAGTTTTCAGAGTTGTGATAAAGTGGTTGGCTCAAGTTTCACTATTTGCATTAGAAGAAGCTTTAGAAGGACGAACAAGACAAATTCCATATGATGCTATACTTGCTTTAGATGTTGTAATGAGGCATTTACCATCTATGACATATACTCCAGTAGGTAGATCATTCTTTAGCACACCAGATGGATATTATCATCCATTAGGTGGTGGAAGAGAAGTTTGGTTTGGTTTTCATCAATCAGTTAGGCCATCTCAATGGAAAATGATGTTAAATATTGATGGTAAATATATAAGATATATTAAAATATAATCTAATTAAAATACAATATAATATAAAAATAATTTTCATGTATATTTAATTATGTTATAGTATCTGCAACTGCATTTTATAAAGCACAACCTGTCATAGAATTTATGTGTGAAGTATTAGACATTCGAGATATAGGAGACCAAAAAAGACCTTTAACAGATTCTCAACGGGTTAAATTTACCAAAGAAATTAAAGGACTTAAAATTGAAATCACACATTGTGGAACAATGAGACGAAAATACAGAGTGTGTAATGTTACACGTAAACCTGCTCAAATGCAATCGTAAGTATACTTAAAAGTAATTGTAATATATGTATAATGTATATATTTATAATATTTGTGAAAATTTTAGATTCCCATTACAATTAGAAAATGGACAAACAGTTGAATGTACAGTTGCAAAATATTTCTTAGATAAGTATAAAATGAAGTTACGTCATCCATATCTTCCATGTCTTCAAGTTGGACAGGAACATAAACATACATATTTGCCACTTGAGGTTTGTTTTTAGTAATTTTCTAAATTCAATTAGTAATTTTAAAACATTTGTAATGTTTGTTTTCATTGAATATTTTTAAATTATTATAATATAATATAAATTTTTTAAGCAAAAATAATAGAAAAAATGTACTAATCTTTCATTCTTTTTATAAGATAAATAATGTTAATCTATTTTTAACATATTGCTTTGAAATTTTTCAAAATTGTAAAGAGAAATATTACGTTCTTATTTATCATTACACAATGCTATATGATCTTATTTATAGATGAGATTTTAATGTATCTATTTTTATGATTATATTAGATCTATCAAAAATAATTAAATAGATTCACGTTTCTTTCAAAAAAATTTTTTTTAAAATTTCTTAATATATACTTATTGATATGTCAAGATTTATTAATAATTTTCTTAATATGTGTTTCTATTCTTAAATGACATTCTTAAGTACATGAATTATTTGTAAATATAATATGTGAACATAATTAATTTAAATTATAATCAAATGTAATTAATAATTATAATAGTTAATAATTGTGTATTTAATTCTTGGGAAGTTGTAGTGAATCTTAATAATATAAATTATATAATATTATTTTTAGCATATAATTTTTATGATCTTCTAAGAATTAAATTTATTATATTTTTATTATCTGATGTTTGAAAATAAGTTATGCTTGATTGTTGTTATTACAAATGAATTAATTAAATTTAATTAATTAGTTTAATTAATTATAACTATAAAATTAAGAATGAAAAAATAAAATAAATAGAAAATTTAGATGATTTTAAAAATGATTTTAAAAATTGAAATAAATATGAATATTAACATAAAAAAATATCTACTGAAGTTTATTTTCTAAGTTATAAATAATATAATTTTGCTTTTTAAAATTAAACTAATTCTATCTTCATTACATTCTATTCTATTTAATGCAAAATTAAATTGTTTATGATTTAATAAATAAACTTCAATTGATATTTTTGCAACATTTGTTTTATTTTATTTTATTCAGAAATTATTAAACATAATTTATAATTAATATTATAATTATAATTTTTATTTATATTTAAATTTATTTTTTTATTTTGTTCAATTATTCTATATACTCTTATACATAGAATAAATATATATGGAACATCTTTGGATTATTCTAGAGATTGAACAAATTCAAAAATTTATATATGAAATGGTATTTATTAAGTTAAAATCAATTTAAGTTATTCTTTTTTTTTATTTTATCTTCGTTTCGCTTCATTTAACGTAAATTTTAATTGTTTATAACATAATAAATTAACTTCAACTGATATTTCTGTATATCAACTTTTTGTTTGTTTTACTTTCTAAATTCGATTTTTCAAAGTCTATCAATATATTAATATTTTGTATATATTAGAAATTTTTTTGGATATTACTTTACAATTATATAATTATATAATATTATATAATATAAAATATAAAATATAATATACATATATATATTACTATATATATATAATTTTTAACATATTTTTATATATATATGTTATTAGGTCTGCAATATTGTTGCTGGGCAACGTTGTATCAAAAAATTGACTGATATGCAGACTTCTACTATGATAAAAGCTACAGCTCGTTCTGCTCCAGATCGCGAAAGAGAAATAAATAATTTAGTTAGAAGAGCTGATTTTAATAATGATTCATATGTTCAAGAATTTGGTTTGACAATATCAAACAATATGATGGAAGTTAGAGGTCGTGTTCTACCTCCACCCAAACTACAGTACGGAGGGCGCGTAAGTTCCCTCAGTGGACAGGTGAGAAACTTCCAACTTAATCAGTCAGGTCTAGACAAATCACACATTTGCAGAAGTTCTTATTTTTTTGAGAAATTTATTAATCATCTGCTTATGTACTTGAAAATATAAAAATAAAATTCTTGCAATCATCATGTAATCTATAATGAAAATTTTAACTTAAATTTCTTTCTATTATTTTTACAAACTTTTTTTATTAAAATAAGAATCTTAATAAATATGATTTTACATGATGGAATGAAATTTTTTTCAAAAGTAGTAATAAAATAGTAAATTTAACTTTTTCTATTATTAAAATATATTTAAAATTTAATAAAATGAAATTGTGCCAAATGAATGCATGAGTTTTAGACCTGGTTGATTTTGATGTGGACTGTCATTGTAATGAAAACAAATTATTTTTATAAACAACAAAATCAATATTATTTCAAATATTATTCTTTAAAAAGAAATTTTCTTTTATTTAATATAATTTGCATTACATTTACAGTCCAATATCTTAGTTATTATTTGATGCTCAGTTTCGTTCCATGCAGTAATGAAATAAAATAGATTCTTATTTATTTTGATTTATGATCCTAGTTTTTTTATGTACTTTTATTTATATTATTTTTATAAATAATATTTATGTAACTTTTTGAATTAAAAAGAAATAAAAATAGAAAAGTAATGATTGCATGGATTGTATAGAAACTCTGGTGCATCTTTCTTATTTATTTATTATGATTTAAAGTGTATATCATGATATTCAGCGATATATATCTTTTTTTTCTTTTCTTTCTTTTTTTTTTTGTTGCAAAAGACGAAACAACAAGCTATACCTAATGGTGGTGTTTGGGATATGCGTGGAAAGCAATTTTTCACGGGTGTGGAAATTAGAGTTTGGGCAATTGCCTGTTTTGCTCCACAAAGAACTGTACGAGATGACGCAATACGTAATTTTATAGCACAATTACAAAGAATAAGCAATGATGCTGGGATGCCAATTATTGGGCAACCATGTTTTTGTAAATATGCTACTGGGCCAGATCAAGTAGAGCCCATGTTTAGATATTTAAAAGCAACATTTTCATCATTACAACTTGTTTGTGTTATATTACCTGGAAAAACGCCTGTATATGGTAATTATATATGTTATATTTTACATAATATAATAAAATACAATTTTCATGTAATGCTGTTTGTATAATATATAAAATATAATAAAATATAATTCCATATTACTCTTGATAAATTAATTTCATAATAGATATTTTTTACTAAAAATATTCATATATAACTTATTTTATTATATTTTGTTATATATAATTTGTTTATATAGAATTCAATGTAATTATTATTCCATATTCTATATTATATATAATGAAATATTCGTATATAAGATTATATATATATAGTATTGATAATATATTATTTTACATATATTATATATTCTATTTTGCTTACAGCTGAAGTTAAAAGAGTAGGAGATACATTATTGGGTATGGCAACGCAATGTGTACAAGCAAAAAATGTTAATAAAACATCACCACAAACGTTGTCAAATTTATGTTTAAAAATTAATGTAAAATTAGGTGGTATTAATAGTATTCTAGTACCCACTATTAGACCAAAAGTATTTGATGAACCTGTTATATTTTTTGGAGCTGATGTGACTCATCCACCTGCTGGAGATAATAAAAAACCTAGCATAGCTGCAGTAGTTGCCAGTATGGATGCACATCCATCTCGATATGCAGCTACTGTTAGAGTTCAACAACATAGACAAGAAATTATTCAAGAACTTAGTTCAATGGTGAGGTAAGTAAATTGTTCTATAAATTTTAATTTGTTCTATAAATATATATAATTTTAATAATAAATTAATTTATTTAGTTTAAAAATATATATGATTCTTAAAAATTTTGCATGAAATATATATATAAATATATATAATAATAATTTATATGTTAATAAAAAAATATTATATAGCTAATAAATATTTTGAACAAATTAAACTTTTATAAGTAAACAAAAACCATCAAAAATTTCAAGAATTTAATTTTTTAAAATAAAGTAATAAAACATAAATTAATAAATAAATAATAATAAAATAAGATATTTAATTTTTAGATAATTAAAGATATTATATTAACCCTCGGTCACTGGATGCTTGAGCAGCGACGCGGGGTTCAAATGCCGAATCATTTTGATCTATACTGAAAATTGTAAAACTTATGTAGTTTATACTTTTTATCTATATTAAGTAAGAAGCAAAAAAATGAAAATTTGTTAGGAAGAATCATTATTAATGAATTTTTTTTATTTTAAACAATTAATATTTTTTTTAATTTTTTAATTTTGAGCATTGAATATCTCTTTTACAATTCAACATATATAACATAAATTTAATTGTAAAGAAAAAGCTAAATTCCTTTTCATATACATAAAAAATTTTATATAAATTTTATTAACTTTAATATGAAATAGATATTGTATTTAGATAAAAATAATTATATATTAATTTTTTTTAAGGGAACTTCTTCTTATGTTCTACAAAAGCACTGGAGGATATAAACCGCTCAGGATAATTCTTTATCGTGATGGTGTCTCAGAAGGTCAATTTCTTCATGTTCTGCAACACGAGCTAACTGCCATTCGTGAAGCTTGTATTAAACTTGAAGCTGAATATAGACCTGGAATAACATTCGTTGTCGTCCAAAAAAGACATCACACTCGCTTATTTTGTTCAGAAAAAAGAGATCAAAGCGGTAAAAGCGGAAATATACCTGCGGGTACGACAGTTGATGTTTGTATAACGCATCCAACTGAATTTGATTTTTATTTATGTAGTCATCAAGGTATCCAGGTAAAAAAATTTAATCATATGATTCTCTTTGTTTTATTTATATGTAAATATATTAAATGTATTAATATAAATAATACATTTACTTTTATTACAGGGCACGTCACGACCATCACATTATCATGTTTTATGGGATGATAATCGTTTTGAAAGTGATGAATTACAGTCTCTAACTTATCAATTATGTCACACATATGTCAGATGTACGAGATCTGTTAGTATACCTGCACCTGCATATTATGCTCATCTTGTAGCATTCCGAGCCAGATATCATTTGGTAGAAAAAGAGCATGATAGGTAAGTAAAAATTCCATATGATTTTTTTTTAATTATAAAATAATAATTAATAGTAATAAAAAATGATAACATTTATCTTATGAACATTTCGATCTTGAAAATTTAATATATATAATGGAGAATTTGAAAATTAAAATTCTGAGATAAATTAAATATTCTGAGATAAAAAATTTAATGTTTTTTTCTGAAATAAAAAATCATTCATTTTAATTAATTTAGCATGAAAAGTATTAAAATTTATATAATTATATTTGTTTTTGATAAAAAATAAAAAAAATAATTATAAATTTCCATTTAAAAATATTTAAAAAAAAAATAATATAAATTCTAATTTTTTTTTTAAGTTTATGAATTGAATTTAATAATATAATAAATTAATACATTATTCAATTAAATTCATAATTGCATGAAAAAGGATCAATATTTTTTAATTTTTCGTTATACTTTCAGAAATATAAAAAAAACGTACATATTTATATTTATATTTATTGATGCTATTTATTAATCAATTTTTTTATTGTAGAAAAATATCATCAAAGAATATATATATATATATATTAACATTTAAATTCAAATTAATTAATCAATTTGCTTATTATTATTTTTTATAAGAAACTAGAAAATATTTTTTTTTATTTTATGGCTTTGTTATTATGAAGACTGATCTTATTTTTTATTTATAAATATTATTGCATTTTTTAATTATATAAAAATTTCTGATTATACATGAAAGATGAATTTAAAACATGAAAAACGAAAAATAAATAATTGAAAAAGCTATATAATCATATATATATATAATGAATGAATAAGAAAATTCATAAAACTTATTGAAAAATTATCCCATTAATTATTATAAGATATAATTATTATAAGATATAATTTATATACAAAAATAAAATACGTATATATTTATAAATCTAGAATCAATATTAAGCATTTAACAAATAACCATTATGATTGGCTTAATTATTAATCGTGTTTAACAATTAAAATAGCCATTTTTTGGTGATTTCAATTAAATCTATTATGATTTTTTGATTAGTTTTTTAATCATAATCATAATCTGATTATAAATTTTAATTTTATTTATATTGAATATATTCTGTTTAAAAGTATAGCAGTAAAAACTTTTTTTATTTATATTTTTTATTTATATATCATTATATATTTGATATAATGTTTTGTATTGCAGTAATTGTTTAGTTTGTTTCAAACAAATTATTTAAAGTAATAATCTCTGATATTTTATATAAACTTCTTTTTTATTTTTATGTTTTGAATCTACATTTATTATTATAACATTGTATATGTATATGTTGTATTTTTACATATAACATTTTGTTTATAAAGTTTCATGAAAATAAATTTTTATTAATTAAATAATATTCTTTTTAAGTTTATATAATATTTCAATAATAGAGTATTTAAAAAAAATAAAATATCAGTAAATAAAAACAAAATAAATAAATTAATATGTACCATTAATTTAAGCAAATTAAGTTTATTCAAATATTTATTTTTGTTTGTGAAATTTGTGAAATGAACATATTTATTTTACATAAATTTTACATAAATTAAGATTAAGATTACAATAGATATTATTCAAAAACTATATGTATACATGTATATTATAAAATTATTATATATATTTAATTTGATTATTAATAAATTTTGAGTATATTTATTTAAGATTAATTTGGACATTTTTTTTCTTAAAAAAAAAAAAACTTAAAATATTATATTTTAAAAGTAAAGAATTTCATAAATTATATTTATGTAATTTATTTTAGTTTACTATAAAATATTTATAAAATTTATTTATAAAATATTTATAAAGTTTTTTATTTTAGGAACATGGTTTTATAGATATATGTATTTTATATATTAATTTATTATGTGCTGGTTTTTCTATTTATTATTTTTTAAATATATTCCTATATATATATTTTTTTTTTGCAGTGGAGAAGGATCTCACCAATCTGGCTGCAGTGAAGACAGAACACCAGGTGCAATGGCAAGAGCTATCACAGTTCATGCAAATACAAAGCGGGTTATGTACTTTGCATAATTTTCTTTTGAATTTTTCTTATACACATGCAATTGATATAAAAATCATCATATCTTATACGAAGATATTTCTAGACTATTTAAATATTAGACAATCTTCTTGAGTGGTCAATTTTTTTTGCTTATTTTTATAATCAAATATGTCGAAAATATAGCTAAAATATGTCAAATAATTTTTTATTAAGCTTGGTTTTTTTCTTTTTTTTATGTTCTATTTAATATATTGTCGATTAGGTTTTAGGCAAATTTTCTAACATTTTAGTAAGTAGGTATTAAAAGAGGTGCTTTTAGTTAATCATGTTTTAGATTGATGCAGCTTGACCAGTGTGTCGTTTTATGATAAAGATCACACGAATAAATAATATAAGAAATCAGCTGCCGTGGATATTACGCTTATTTCTTTTTTTTAGAGGTTAAATTTCCTCTAGCATTTGTAGAATACAAAAATATTACATTAAAACATAAATTCATGATTGTATAAATCGCTTTGCAAGACTGTTATCTTGTTGTTTATATGTAGTTATATCATTTGATCAGTCATTTTTTATATAAAAAAAAAAATAAAAAAAATAAAAAAAATTAAGATTTCCAAGTCATATGAGGATAAAATATTAGCATGTATATCCTATCTTCATGCTTAAGCATATTTGTTATTATGCAATTATGATTCTATAATGATTCTATCTTATGACATTATGATTCTTTATAAATATCATATCTTTCATGTCTATCATATTTATCATAAGCATTAAAAAATTTGGCCACATCAAGTAATGAATTGTCAATCAAGATAATATATCTAATTTAATATTATAAATTGAAAATCCAGAAGTACATATTTTATTCTATTTGGTTTAATTGTACTATTTTTTGCATGTGGAATGAGAATTATGATAGCTTGAACTGTGGTACTTTATTCATATCAACTATACATTAACATAACATTTTGACAAAGGTAAATGAATACCTTTTATCTGGTGTTTCAAATACGCAACATTATCTCTTCAGGCAAGACAAGTACTTTTAAGTGAAATCTTTATGGCATTAGATTCGGGTTAATAACTAACGCCCCATCAACGCAGAAAATAATTCAGATAAGAATAGAATAGGGATAATTCAACTAATGCAAAATAAATCAGAAATATAATATGAAATTATTAGGATAAGATTTATTTTATTTGTTGTAAAACGAAAATTTTAAGGTCCTCAAGTTTTTATTTAAAAAAATTCATCATTTATGATTCATCTACAAATTGAATCTATTTAAATGGAACAATAATCTTAATTGATACAATAATTGTATTAAGAGCCTTGCAAGTAACTACAATCTAGAGGCAATAGATAGGATAATAAAGTGTATAAATATGCCGTGCCCCATAAATTGTTTATTATATATTGTTAGAATCATTAATACACTAAAAAAAAATTTTTGATTTTCATTGTTTTACGTATAAGATTTAAATATTACGCAATCTTTTAAAATTATAATTTTATTTTATTAAATAAAGACAGTATTAATAATCACTAAATATCATATCATTAAATGATTGAATAAAATAAAAGATTGTGAAATTCAAATTCTTGATAAATATATTCAAATGAAATTTGATTTAATGTAAAAAAACAATTTATAAATAGACAATAAAAACAAATTTTAGTCTAATGTTTGATATTTTAATAAAGATTCTAAACAAAATAAGAGAAAAATCGTTTTAAAACTATTAATATTAGTAAAATTTGGATAATAGTGTAAGTTGGTATTTAAAATTTGTAGAACTTTGTGCATTAATGATTCTAATTTTAGATTTACAAGTGATACAATGTTAATATTATCTTGGAAAGTATGAAAAGGACCTTAATCTATCAATAATATTTATTCTAGTTATTAAATTTAAGTCCATAATGTAGGCTATCACTTATAACATTTAATACCTAGTTTCTGACTTTTGACAGATTAGGTAACTTGTTATGTATGGTTTGAGTAAAAGAGTGTAATTCTTGAATACTATTTACAAGAAAAGTTAGGCAGATGAATCAATTTCAAACAATTGAAGGCAGCAGATAAGCAAATGCATAAAATCGGTATGCAAATTGAAAAAAATTGCAATTTCCGATTAATGATTAAAAAAATAAACAAAAATTTATTGTCCGTAAGGGTGTGAAGGTACCAAAATATAGAATGCGAAAATAATGCTTAAATAATGATGAATTACGAAATCCATTTTAATCGTAATAAGGTCGACGATTAGAATTAAGTCAATAACAATTGCAAAACATTGCAGTGTAAATATATATAATCGGTGCGCAAGTAAATACCAAAATTGAAAAGATATTAAAAAAATAAACTAAAGCATTGTCATGAAATCATATAATTCAAGAAAAGCATTCATTATTCAATTACTCACATTTCATATCTTAAAATAAATAATTCGTTATGTGATAGTGATATTTTTCTTTCAAAGTTTGTGATGGCATTTGATATTTTCCTGCGCCCGATCAAAAACTAGCCTCCATTTGTAAATATACCTCAGTAATTTATCTATACATCACTATCCCATTTAGTAAATAATGCTCGATGGGCAATAGGTGGAATGGTTACAAAGATTTTTGTAATTTTTATTTTAATTAGATGAATTAAGATATTAGTTATATATATATATATATATATTGTTTAATGATCTTTTAAATCTCGTATAAAAAATTGCACTGAAAAGAAAAAAATGCCGATTGGAGTTCAGTTTTGATAATATACATGAATTTATGCAGCGCGTCGTAAACTTGTACCTAAAAAAAAGCATGTGGCAATTTAAAAAAAATCTTCAAAGAAACGGGTTTATGAAATAAACATTATTTAGTGCGTAATAAAAATAACCGGATCTATTCACAAAGCAGAAGAATTTACTTCCTACCACGAGTCCCAGACATTTTAATGTAAGGCAAATAATTTATATTTGTATACCTATATTATAAATATTATGTATGTGTATATATATATATATATATATATTTGCATATATATATATATCTTAGCATACATATATATATATGCATATTTGAAGATTAACTGTATTGCATTGTTAACAAATGCCGTGTGCAAAGAATACATATGAATTATGCAACAATTCCAGGAATAAGATGACGTTAAACATCCTTGTATTTTGAAGAGCTTTACGGGTTACATCGTAATTAATTATATTTGCAAGTGATCAATTTTCATAATTAATTAATAAGCTATATTATCTTTAAAAAAGATATCCATTATTCTCAAAAGGTTATAATCGTCAGTGTTTTTAAGTGGCGTTCATCGATAAACTTAATAAAAATTAAGCAAATCGATTTCTATAAATTATGAATTATTAATACAATTTTGAATGTTTATTAAATCATTTTACAGTATTAATTCATTATCGACTCCACTGTAATATTATCTCAGCACAAAATTATGTAGATAAATTGCGATTCTTTGTTTTAGTGTTTGTAAGTGACTCGCAAAGCGCCACCAAAGACCTTGACATTGCAATATTATGATTTTCAACAAGTTTTATTTAGATTTATGATAAAAAAGAAAATGTATTAATGAGATTAATACGATGTTAAACGGATATTGGTCAACTTTCAGGAAATGCAAATAAGTGAATATATAATACACAATTTTAGATAAGTAGAAACTAGTATAACTAATGATGAACAAAATATTAGTACAGATAATATTTCGTTATGAAATTTACATTAATACTAGTTTCGAAAAATATTTCTTTCAATAAAGTATATTATAAATCATGAATATGTTAAATAATTATGCAATTACAAAAATAATAGAATATTATATATCGGGAATTATTTACATTAAAAAAAAATATTATGATTCTTATAATTTTGTATTGTAATTTGTTAAATTATTTTGTTTAACATTTTATATGAAACTTTTTTTATTATTTTTTCAAATCATTTGTACATTAAATACAGTTCAAATAATATAAGCAACATGCTTTGAATTGTTACTAATAATATATGTTGAAAGTAATAATTCTTTTTCAAATTTAATTTTCTCATATTTTTGTGTAAGTTTAAAATATCGGAAAGAATATAATTACATCACATTTTTAGTATATCAATTAAAGAGATTTGAAAATTTCTATTTTCTCTATTCTATAATAATAAAATATTAAATAGTTTAAACGGGGTGTTAAATAATTATTAAACAATTATTTAATAATTTTTTAAAGCCAATTTAATATTAAGTTCTTAATATTATTAAAAATTGTATTGGAAAACATTTTAAATACTTTTGTTGTTTATACAAATATTCAGGATCTTCATATGTTTTATTCATATGCAATTCTTTATAAATTTTGTTGAATTACGACATTTTTAAAAATTTTTAAATTTGATAAACTACTCTTCTTACTTATTTATAATATTAACAATTTCTTACGACGTTTTCTATATTGCAGACTTTCCTTCTCTGTTTTTTTATTTATTTATTTTTTTTTTTTTTTAAGAATAACTTATATTGTCGTAAAATATTCACTATTTAATTTTTAATATTAATAATTTAATTACACTTTTGATTATTAGTTTATATTATTCTTAGTATAATTAAATAAATAAATAAGATTTTCTTTATTTATGCAAATATAAAGTTTCTGGTGCTTTTTTCAGCTTTATTTATTTTTCTTATTTATTTATTTCCTACTTTTTTCTTGATTTTACTAATTATTTAGAACCGTTAGTTTAAATCTTGAAATTTAAATAGGAAATAAATTTTCTATAATTATCACTTGTATTTTAACAAAAATAATTTTCTATATATAATTCATTATTTTCTGTTAATTTACAGTTATTTAACATTGATATTTAAATGATAATCTCGAAAATTATATATTTGGAATTTCATAAGTATAATCATATAATTTTTCTCCATTTTTTTTTTACAATTATAAATAATTTTATTGTTATAAACAACAATAAAAGATTATTTGTGTTAATATTTTTGTTCATCACTCAATATTTACATGCAAAAAAAAAAAAAAAGAAAAAAATCAATAGTTTCGTAATAGCACTTAAACAATTTCTATAATATTTTTACAATACTTTTTCCTTCTCTTTTGCTTTTCCTACGAAGTTTTAACCACTAGCCGTTATTTTTCTTTTCCGCAAATGTGTGAAAGAAATAATAATTTCTTTCTCTGTAAAAGCGTCAAGAATTTACTGTAGCATAAGTTTACTTCACTTAAGCACTAAAAAACGTACACATGTAAAAGCGCTTAAGGGTATAGATGTGAAAAAACTGTCAGCTTTAAGAATGTCAGAATCTTGAAAAGAATTCAGTGATGGCGTTCCCAATGAATTTTATTAATCCAAGCATCATGATATAGTATCGTAGTTTTTAGGATTGTCTAGTTAATTCCGTTTTGAAATGCGAATGTGTTGTACCTACCAATACCGCCGAATTGAATACAAACGAATAAGCATTGAAATAAGGGAATATTTGAGTAAAAATGATGATCATTAATGATGATAATAATTAGCCGACTGTAAAAGTAACGCTTTATAGGCTAAGCTATACTTGTGTAATTTCTTGTCGAGCGTGCTCTGATTTCTTGTCTACACGCGCTTTTTCATCACTGATCTCAGAGGATGTTTGCGCACCTTTTATTATGTTGCTATGTATATGTTAGAGCACGAGCTCTCTTAACCCCTTTTTACTAATGAGCTCGAGCACCTTAATTATTATAAGGAAAGGTTTATGCAAATTTGTGATTTCAATGTAAATTACAACCAAATACGTTCGCCGTTTGTAGGAAGTCATTCGGACGACTTTCATTCTACCGTTAACAGGAATATCGATAATCGATATTTTGCAGATAATTTTGTGAAGTTTCATTAGCGATCAATGTTTCACATTCAGATTTATTATTTCCATCATTAATTATATTCAATGCAAAAGTGATGTGAATTTCTTTAGAAGAGATTAATCATGAGAGCAATTTTTATATAAAAGTACATAAAATGTTTTGTGTAATTAAAATTATTTTTAGTTATTTAATCACAAGACGCGAATACATTTAATGAACAAATATTCTGCTAT